TGGAAGGTTTAAGCCAGGCTTTTAGATTTGACGAATTCGAGAGAAATAAAAATTGTTGGGGGTCATTCATGGTCTGTGAAGGAAAGTTGATTTTCCAAACATTCAGCAGTCATCTTAGATGAAAACTGCAGATGCATCACTGCAGTGTTAAAAATGCTGAAGCATTAATGTATATTTCGTAAAGCACCTTGAATGGCTTACAATGTTATGTGTCCGTTGATGGGTCGTTGTGTGTTGAATCTATGCTTGTTAATACCAACTGATAAATATTTTTTTGAAACCACGGTACTAGAGAACAAGCACCGCGTTAGCGCAACAATCCAATCATAAGACACAGTGGACGTGCAACAACCCAATCATAAGATACAGTGGACGTGCAACAACCCAATCATAAGATACAGTGGACGTGCAACAACCCAATCATAAGATACAGTGGACGTGCAACAACCCAATCATACGACCTAGTGGAAGTGTAACAACCCAATCATAAGATACAGGGGACGTGCAACAACCCAATCATACGACCTAGTGGACGTGTAAAAATCAAAGCTTTAGACGCAGTGGACGTGTAAAAATTAAAGCATTAGACGCAGTGGACGTGTAACAATCAAATCAGACGATCTAGTGGACGTGTAACAACCAAATCAAACGACCTAGTGGACGTGCAACACACAGTCAGTGCAAAGGTGCAACGTCACAGTGGACGTGTAACAATCAAATTATAAGACCTAGTGGTCTTGGAACAACCAAACCATAAGGCCCACTAGACGTGAACCAAGCAAGTAATACGACGTAATGTGCGTGCAACAACCAAATCATAAGACACAGTGTACGTGCAACAACCAAATAATATCTCGTATACGAGGAAGAGATATTCTCCCTCCCACGATAAACATGGCATCCGATGCAATTTCAAGCTGGAAGCATGCATTTGCAGTGGAGTAATTCAGTTTACCCAGACCCTGCTGCGAGTAACGCTATTAGCGATGCACACTCTCTGCTTCCTTACTTGCTCATATCAAAGCGTAAGCGGTTATCATAGCGCAAGGCGAGCAGACTGAATAAGATCCAACCGTTAATTTTAAAGGCTTAGGAATTTCTATTACCAACTAGCGGTATTATTTAGGCTATAAATTTTATTTGGCTTGCATTCTATTCTTTATATATATTCCGATTTGAAAACGTTCGTTTTCTAACATTTGATAATGGATTGTCGATTCAGTTATCGCACTTATATGTAATCCTTATAGTTTTGACGGGTATGGTTTGCCTTGGCTTCCATTGGTTAGCGTTTCGTAAAAATACGAATTGACAAGAGTTTCGCGTCCAATTTTCGAGAATCGTGGATATATTGGTACATAACTGCGACATTTTTTGATTCGGAAATTTTTAATCAGTTTGATTTTCAGATTTTAATTTGCAGTCTTAACACATAAAAAAACTAGTGAAAATCTAAAGTCATTTCATTATCACGTTCATTTAGTGGAAAGTTTTTATTTCTCGTTGAGCAATGTTTCCATTCCGAGCGTCCTCTGACGACTGAAATGCACCAACCCCGAGTATCAAATGCCAAGTTAAAGATGCGATAAAAAAAGCTTCTCACTTGCTTCTGCACTGAAGTTGCGTCCCTCTGTGTGCGTTGTGAGATTGAATTAGGTTTCAAATCGGTGTTTATGTTGCCTTTGATCAAACGTTGCTTGAGTTTCTGAGTTAAAGGATTCTCAAAAAAACCGTTGCGTGCAATTGGTTGACATTTTTTATGGGGACTTTTAGGGAAGATCAAACTTTGAAGTAGGTAAACGCATTGGTTTCTCGTGATATGCAAGAATAAAAGTCTACGATTCACTATTAAAAATCCCCCCAAAATATTGAATTATTTCTCCAAAATGTTGATAAACATATATAGTTTTCTTAACAACTTTCATTAAAACGGTAAATGGTAAATAAAAGTCATGCAACAGTGAAGTCAGATAATATTTTCAATTTCATTAACGAAAAATAACAACATTCACTTACAAGGTGGACCCATAAACTTATGGATTAATTTCATTATATAGTTTATTGAGTTTAAAATTTTATTAATACTGGTAACATTTCAACAGACTCGGACGTGAAATAATTAAATTTCACGTGAATTCTTACGTCACATAGGAAGCTTTCAAGGGATAATATTATGCACTAGGGTCGGACGTTCGAATTGAAGACGAGATCATGAATGGGACTTAGAAAGCAATTGAGCACGAACAGGCTATGTAGGATTTAGTCTTTGGTCGTTTATATTAACGTTTTTAACTTTCATTAAACTCTAACTAGATTATTTTTTTCAAATTTAATGGAGAAGTCTATTTCCATCCACAATATGAAATGTAATCAATAGAAGAGGGCGAACAATTCTGCAAATAACGTCAATATCAATCATTTAAAATATGAAAAAAATTCCTTCCTAGGTATTTAATAGTAATTAACGAGTAATATACTGTTCATCTAGGAGTTAATAATGGAGCACATTGAGATGAGATCAAACTCTGGACTCAGAACCAGGGCTGCAGAGAGATTCTGTCGACCTGCCTGCATACGTGGCTTCCAGGAACATTTTGGATCCAGTTTCGGAAGCCTCAGTAACCGTACGGAGCTGCCTGGAGGTACCGCTCGTAAAATTAGATAGGTTAGACGACGCCTTATGAGGTAGCGTAAAAAATCTATTAGAGTATCCTAGCAGCTGATTACATGGAGCTGAGGCGATTCGATAAGCATCATTGTTAATAAGGTTTATATTATACTGAGAACTGGAAGAAGGACGGTCCCCGATACTCCCAAGACCAGGATGCTTTAGCCGTGAGGGATATTCGGTAGCGTTGGACTCCACGCTGTAGTTTAGGACGGCGTTTTGCCTGCGAGTCTCGAGAAATGATCTGTCATACGCCGAGTAATTCATAGCAGCATTGGATGCCGGCAAGCATCTCTCGGTAATTGCTTCCATAGGGTTATAAATTCCAATAGTTAGCCCTGGAACGTCGCTGGCTCCCAAGGCTTTCAGCGGATGTGATGGCATCAACGATGGCGGCTGAGAAGCTGCTTGATGGAGGCCGCAATTATGTTGTTCAGCCCCCGAGCAAAATCCAAGGCGGGAATCTTTTGCAGACGCAGAGCAGCCGAGGAAGTCCTGACGTTTTGCATTAGGCGTGCGGGGCCCCAGCTTCGCCACGGTCAGTAAATTATCCTGTGGATAAGCAGTCAATACCCCAATAACAATAAGGCTTTGATAAGCCATTGCACAACAAATAAACGATACAGCATGCCAAAATAAAATTTTACCAAATTCATATTGGAACGAATGTTACTTACAGATTGTTTACAATGTACGCAGTAACTGGGAATAGTTAAATTTTAAACAGAACATCTATTATTTCAGTGGTGGCTTTCACACATGAAAATATTCACAATAGTTTAGGACATTTCCGATCAAGGTAAATTGAAAAGAAAATGAATAGTTAATCAATTATTTACTTCTTAGTCGAAATGCTCTTGAATGAAGAAAAGTACATATTCACCATATCTACATAATGTTTAAATCAGGTTAACAAGTTTAAAATAAATCATCTCCTACTAAGTACATAAATTCCCACCTGATATCTCAATCTAGAATTATTGATAAAAATAAGTTTGAAGCGTTCTAGCTCACCCTTGAAGATGCATCTTCTGTAATTAGATCAGGAGCCTCGGAAGCGGACATTTTAAGTTTGAGGTGATCGTGCGTGACGGTATTCTGGGAGTTGGATCTCTGGTCGTTGCCTCTACGTCTGGATTTGCGGTAGGCTATTAAGGCGACTCCAGGGACGAGGCACAAAAATATGGCCAAGGCACAACCAATTGAGATGGCCATGAGTGTCGTGCCATCCAGAAACTGAGACTCGTGGCCGTTCCCTTTATTGTCGTTTAAATCTGCAGAAAAATATCAAAATAGTTGAGAATCAACATGCTGAATTTTTATTTATAAATAATTTTATATTTATTATCAGTGAAAAAGTTGCTGAAATCTTTAATGCAATTCATGGAATATAACGAAAAATTATTGGATCATTGCTTAAATCATAACTAGAATACAAAAACATATCGAATTGCTTAAGGCGAATTAATAAATACATAATATTCGATTTACAGCGGAATTCATGGGTAGATCAATCGATATTAGAGGTGCTCTAAAAAATTGTCAATCCCTTATTTAAAATTGCTGACCAGAAATTCGCTATCTTTATAATTTTTTTTGGCTGAATTTCATTCACTGAAAGATACTATTTCCCACTGCCAAAATTTTTTCTAATAAGATAAGAATTCCCTGAGAATTACAGACGCTCACATACGTATTTTATTACCCGTTGCCAAAAATTTTTCCGAATTATATAAGAATTCCCACGGAATTACAGACACTCGCATATTTCATTTCCCGCTGCGAAAATTTTCCGAATAATATAAGAACTCCCACGGAATTACAGACACTCACTTATTTTATTTCCCGCTGCCAAAAATTTTCCTAATAATATAAGAATTTCCACGGAATTACTGACACTCACTTATTTTATTTCCCGTTACTAAAATTTTTCCTAATAAGATCAAAATTCCCACGGAATTACAGACACTCACAAATTCTATTTCCTACTGCCAAAAATTTTCCGAATAATATAAGAACTCCCACTGAATCACAGACACTCACTTATTCTATTTTCTGCCGCCCGTAATGTGAGTGCCGTCAGAGTGAGAGGTTCGGTGGGGCCGAGATGTGTCATGGCGGTGATAGTCAAAGAATAGTCGACACCCGCAGTGAGACCTGACACCGAGAACGTCCCGATGTTATCTGTGAGGTGATAAGTCAGGTAGGCGTGATATTGGTTCATATGAATCTTTTGCTCTCAGGAAAATGAAGATGTAGAATGACTAAGGAAACCTGGAAATTGACCGATGAATGCAATCTTTCTTGCAAATGAACCCTACATATTTATAATTCAAAGGTGCCCTGTGTATGGTCGAAAAATATGCGTATACAATTTTTAAATTACTGTGACACGGAAAGGAACCAGTCTTGAGTTTAAATATTCATGAAAAATATGTTATTTCATCATTTGTTAACGTACTTATGGCTTTATATAGGACTAGTAGAAATTTTAAAAACTCCACTATGCGACCAAACACGGTTAAGGATCTAGCATTATTCAAACTTTGAATTAATAATATTTAATAATTTAGTTATTGTATTATAAGCATTTGTTTGGCGTTCAAGCTCTTAATTGTGCGTGTGTACATGATTAAGACTCAAACAATATTCAAAACAAACAAAATATAATTTTTCATCCACGTACAGGTTGCATTATAGAAGACTTGTTGAAAGTTCAAGCTCTTTATTGTGACTTTGAACATAGTTAAGACTCAAAAAATGTTCAAAACATACACAATAAAATTTTTATCCACGTACTATTGGCATTATAGAAGACTTGTTGAGTGTTCAAGCCTTTTCTTGTGAGTGTGTACATGATTAAGAGTCAAACAATATCCAAAACATACAAAATATAATTTTTCATCCACGTACTGGTGGCATTGTAGAAGACTTGTTGAGAGTTCAAGCTCTTTATTGCGAAAATGTACACGATTAAGAGTCAAACAATATTCAAAACATACAATATATAATTTTTATCCACGTACTGGTTGCATTATAGAAGACTTGTTGGGAGTTCGAGCTCTTTATTGTGAGTGTGCACATTAGTAAGACTCAAACAATATCCAAAACATACTCAATATAATTTTTTCATCCACGTACTGGTTGCATTGTAGAAGACTTGTTGAGAGTTCAAGCTCTCAACTGTGAGAGTAAAGAAAGTTGTGACGTCACCGGCTGCCTGCGCAGCCCCCTGCGCGCGCTGAGGTGCAGCGTCTCCAGTCTCCCACTCCTCTAGAAGAGCCTCGAGTTCTTTGCGCTCCTGGCATGCAGATAATTTTATCTTAAAAGTATTTCTTGCAGATTAGAATAATGAGATGTGAGCTCCATATTCGAATTTGTTAAATCCAATAGCACAGTATTAGTTAAAAACGGTTATTATTGCCCCTTGAATCTTTAAACAATTACAGCTCTTCAGGCAAATGACGTTGAAATAATGTTGACTAACAGTAGATTCCGTATTAACATTAATGCACATTATTTCAACGTCAGATGCCGGGTAGGTTATGATATTGAAAAGATACCAGGACAATATCAATCAAACAAAATTTTGATGTCAATGGATTTACAAAATTAAAATAGTTAGCCTGTCTCTCACAGCTCAATATTTCGACATTATTTTCAAGGAAAAAAGTCTAGCCATGAAAATTACATTGCAAAAAACTAATACGATTTTTTTTAAATACGTTCATGAATTTTTTACTGTAATGATTGCAACTTTTATTAAAACAATAATTACTAGTTGTTTATTCGTGTTTATTTAATTTGGTGCATGAATCCATTTGTATTAGAAGCACTCGATTTTTTTAATAATATTTTCCGTCCAAGATGCGCTATTTTAACTCAATAAATCATCCAACGTCGAATCAAAGGAAATCTCCAATATCACCCTTCGCATCGAACGATATTCTAATGTCTTTTCAATTTTTACCCCCGCTGCTTGAGTTCATTTCAGAATGCATTTCATTTCGCCAACGTTGTTTTTATGTAAGTCAAATAAGCGATGCATTGCAACAGGAATATCAAAGTCAAACTCTTATTAATCAGAGCGTTAATTCTATCAATTTGGTTTAAAAAATTAGAATGACATGTACTAAAATGAGAAAAGAAATAAAATATTAGCCTCGGCTGAAATAATTTTCATTCATGAAACTTTTCTTCGTTAAATATTTCAAGATGTAGGATTTTGAGTCACTCAATTTATTATAATTTACATTACCTTAATTTGTAATTATGTACACAATAGTGCTCGACTAAATTTCGCATAATGTGTCAAAATAAAATTTATACGAAATAAACGTGGTGACATACGTTTAAATTTATTTAATTTAACTTTCAAAGTACGCATTATATGATGCTGATAAGTTTGATGTAGAATCGTGCAGCTGCTCACATGAGAAGAAAATTGTCTGCCAATTGTGAGAGTGAAGCAGATATTTGTTAGCATCAATTCGCGAGACGAAGTTTAATCTAATAACATAATTCAAGGCCTTCCACATCAAAGGCTGCCACGCAGAGCTGCAATATCTTTCAACTTGATTGGATATTGTACGACAGGATTAAAATGTTTCTTTATTTACATCTTAGGGAGAATTTGCAACAAATTTATTTTACAATTTTACTAGACATTCAGATTCAATCAATGGGTGAATAGTAAATAAATGATTGTGTGTATGATATATACGATGGATATTCAAAATTATAAATTTCCTAACAAATTTTTTAAAGAGAAAATGACAAAAATAGAGGTACAAAATTCGCCAAGTTCGAAGACATGATATAATAGCGCCCACAAGGAAATGCAAATCTTGGTGGTAAAAGCAATTCTATTGTAATTTTCGGGAAAGATGAAGATAAATAAGAAAGAAATCTATATCATTACTGAAATATAAGAGAACTGTATTTCACCTTCATTTCTTGACTGTCGAGCGTCATTCTGGAGCGCTCGACAGCAGTCGAGTTTTCTTGATTAAGTTCGCAGTGAACGTTGAGGCTCTGCCAGGACTGGTTCGTAACTGAGCAGTTCAACGTCGGAGGAACAGGAGCTGAACGAATCGAAAATAAAATGTTAATATTTTAAAATTTAAAGAATATTTGCGCATTATTATCTTTAACTTATTTTAAACGGATGACTAATCAGAATGTAAAATTTGGATTTTTTTTTTTTAAATAAAACCAACTAATTTTACCAAAATAAATTTTAAACCAAAAATGGTTGGAATGGGAACAATGTGTAAATTATCAATTATTATTTATAATGGTAAAAAATATTACGAATACACATGATAACTAATACTAAAATAAATTAAGTTTAAGTAATTTTTGATCACATATTTCAGGTCAATATTATTGATATTAACATATATTAATTATGAACGGCAGACTTTAAGTTTTGCTACATTTGCATATAATTTTCAATTATCTTCAAGTGATAAAAGACAATTGAAGCTCTTGCATTCTAATAACCTCATTAAGCCTTTTTTCTGAAAGTAATTTGGTTTAACTTTCCGTTCGTTGAAAAAAATAATGGAAAAGTTGGGGAAAAGTTCACGATTCTCATTAACCTGTGATGTTAATTTTTATTAGCACGTTGGCCGCGATTGCTGATTTGGACCGAATGCCGTACGGGCGATAGGTTCAAACTTGTATATCTTCAGTTACCCAGCAGATAGCAAGGAGAAAAGTTGTGTGCAGCTCTGCAAGGGTATGTTCTGTCATTGTGTCACGTAAAATTCGTGGCCGCATTTGGTGCACATCGCTCAGGGTTGAAATTTGTCATTATTCCAGGCGATGTGTACCAAATGAAGCCACGGCTGTTGTGGCTCATATTGGCTCACGCCGCCTATCGTAATCTCTTCTAATACTGTGGGCGATGTGTATCAAGCAAAGACATGCATCTATGGGCGGCTCATATTGCGGAAAAATGCCTAAAGTTATCACTTTTATCACTGTGAATGATGCGCGCAAGAAATCTACATTAGTTTTGAGTCATAATTGCACACATTATGACTACCGGTATCTAATAGCTTTTTGTGAACGATGTATCTTACGCATGGAAATTACTATGGAAAGAGATTGGTGTCCAGGTTTTCATAATCCTGAATAAGATTGAGGGTATTTTAGTTTCAGATCAATAAGAAAATATTATATTTTCTTTTCATACAAAGATAGATATATATATTGCTTTTATCAATGGACACAAATTTCGTAACTTTTGTATTACTTGCATTTGAAAATAAAACTTTTTCTCTAAGTAGTAGTTGACTTCAAAGCATTCCCTAACATGCCTATTTAATTGCATCATTGAAATTTTAAATTTGAAAGAGTAATAAGATTTTATAAAAATATGTATTTTTCATATGAATGTACCACATGTGTACACATCGCGATTCTGAGAAGTACAGCGTGTACATATATGGCGCACATCGCGGCCAACGTGTTAATTCAGTTTTACTGTGGAAGTTGTGGAAGTTTATTTTAAGCTTAAAAATCTTGCGATCACTTCACTCTAAGAACCTTATGTACACCGAAGCGCTTAATGCAGTGTTTGTCTAAAGATGCATTTAACTTCTATTGTGTACAATTAATCTAGAATTACTTTTTGGCCTCCTTTAATTACATACAAAGGTTGCAAAGTACTCGTACAATAAAAATCGCCATTTTGAAAAAAACGCTAATTGAGGGCTGTTCAATAACTTTTTTTCCTATGTCCCAAGCTTCTCCGCGATTAATATTTCTGACAACAAATAACTTATTTTTTATTCGCTGGAAACCATTTTAAATGTTCACACCTCCTGAAAATTGAAGAGCCTATCCTAAATATCAATCAAAGATCTAAGCTTGATCTCTCTTGCTACGAATACAATGAAATCTTCTTAGGCAGGTGCACTCCGCTGGTCAAAATCTTATATGGACAGCATTAATCTCACCTGGGGCAGGCTCGACGGAATATTCGCACGGTTGTTTCTGCTTGCCGATAGCATTGATGGCAAAGCAGCGAATAATTCCGTAATCATAAAGCTTCTCAGGCCGGTACCTGAGTCGTGATTGCTGTTCTGATGACAGAACCCACTCTTCCGACACCAGCTCTTGCTGAGGGAAAAATTTCCCTCAGATACGGAGAAAGTGCGTTCGAAAATTAATACATGAAGGAGGGGATTCAGTGTTAAATAGAAACAAACAGTGCCAATTGAAAACATGTGTACTTCAAGTGTAGTATCAACGAAATATTTTTGGTTGATATCTGAGATTTGGATTTGTATAGATTTGTATGTAGACTTGATGCACAAAAAAATATTAACATGTTTCACACAAGTGTTTTTAGAAAAAACTAATTAACTTCAACCATTTCCGCTAACATGACATTCGAATTCAAGAAGATAAAACATGCAAATGTAAATTTTACATAAGGGGTTTTGTTAAAAGATTACGGCATTAAGAATCTCATGTGATAGTAGACTTCCAGTCTCAAGGTTTTGAATACTCATCGTATTCCATCTGCTTAAGAAAAGTTTAGTCATTTCTTTTCCATTGCTATTAACTGATTATAACGTTGATACCTTTGAAACGTTGGTAGCAAACGTCCACTCGAACTGTACGTCGATGGGCTGGGCTTCAATCTTACACGACAAACTGACGAATTCGCCCAATTGAACCTGATGCACGCGTCTCACTTTTATCGAACACACCGGGGCATCTGGTGGCGATATATAGACTGTTTCAGGGAAAGTATTTGTAGAAATCATGGTAATTTTCACTGTGTTTGAGACCAAACAGCTGTAAAAATAAATACAACAACTCCAATCGTTTTGCTGGTAATTGATAAATTAGATATAGTGCTCCCTTATTTTAGATGAATGTTGAAATATTTAGTTTTGATGCTCTTATTGCTGATATGAATTTAGAAAATAAGATTTGAATATTAAAAATTATAATATTTCAATATAATTGTTGATAATTTACTAGACATTCGAATGCCAATTGTCAGGTTTTAGTGTTTTCTGGGATCCTCACACCCGCATGCAGTTTTTAATTTGATCATTACTTGAATGGCCAGGAAATTAGTGCACACAAATTTTAGTAATTTGAAAACAATTATTTCTGACCTATGATAAATTGCTTACAAATATTTTTATAACTGAATGCCCACAGAGCAGTAGAGTAAATCTTATCAAAATTATGTTACGTCTTACAATCTACAGCAACGTTGATTCATTGCTTCTATAGCTGACAGAGCAGGCGAGTAACTATTATCAAAATTTCAGTTACAAATTTGATCAACAGCAGTGATGATTCATTGTTTTTATAGCTCACATAAGATGCTGATGTTGATGGTGTTGGTTACCACAGAGGCGACGGAGTTGGCAGCTGTGCAGGAAAAAGTGCCGCTCCAGTCCCGTGTCACGGACTGCAGCACCAAATGCTCACCAGACATCAACACACCCAGCACTGGGTCGTTCTTAAGCGTACGGTTCTGGCAAGAGAATAAGAACGATTGATGTACGGTTGTAACAAGAGAACAAGAACGGTTGATATACGGTTCTATCAAGAGAAGACCGGACAAACAACGGTTGAAATTAGCATAAGTACATCAACACGCCCAGCACTGAGTCGTTCTTAAGCGTACGGTTCTATCAAGGGAATAAGAACGGTAGATGTACTGTTCTGGCAAGAAAAGACTGGACAGAGAAAGATTGAAATTAGCACGAGTACATCAACACTCCCAGTGTTGGGTCGTTCTTAAGCGTCCGGTTCTGTCTAGAGAAGAATAGATGGTTGAAATTAGAATATCAGCATGTCCAATACTGGGTCGTTCTTAAGCGTACGTTTCTATCAAGAAGAGGAAATACGAGAACGGTCGATTTTTTTTAAGTCAGCACATCCAGCGCAGGGTCGTTCTTAATCGTATTGTTCTATCACGTATAAAATGAACAAAAGAACAGTTGAAATTAATACGTCAACAAACGTACAAATGGGTTTTTCTTAGAGAGCTTGGTTTTTCGAGTGAAGAATGGATGGAGAGCGTTTAAAATTAGTAAATCAGCGTGCCAAAAAATTGGCTTGTTTAAGCGTACGGTTCTTTGTATGGAAAATAACAATCATACCAACAAAATACATGTACATCAGAACGGTGAAATTTATTTATCTCACTTTAAATAAATAGGTTATGCGCCATAAGACAGTGGCAGCAATTTTTTCGCACGTTGTAAGAAAATGGCACAAGATTTTTCAAAATAATAATTGCACCAAATTAGAAATTAGCCGCGTACCTCCCACGAAACTACAAATAAAAACAAGTATTATTATCGATTAAACTTGTATTATTGCAACGGGAACATCCAATGAAGAAATTTCTAGAAACCGTTTCCCGAAATAAAAATTCCGAATTCTTTCGGAAGCTCTGAAACAGCACTGTTAAGATATTGGAGAACGCTTAGAAATGAATTAATTATAGTATGATCAAAAATAACTCTAATTAAACTTTATTGTTTTTCCTTATATCGCTCGTATGTTATAAACTCGAACATGCTTCAAACATTCCTCCTGTACGTATTTCCTGCGATCGAAACGTTCCAAGTTTGCATATTCAACTATTCCTAATCTCTCACACACCTTAATACAGTGTATGTCTAGTGCATCCATTCAGGCCATGAAAGTCTCTAAATGCATTCAGCCTCGTGAATAAGAGCCCTTGGACAGCCAAATGCACTGCCATTCAAGTTTCTAAGCTTAGTTTCTATGCATTTTTCAACTAAGTTTCGGACTTCGCAGCAACTGAAGTTGGTGAATTAGAATACGAAATATCATTATTTTGTGTGAACGCTGTACCAGCTGAGGCAGAGAAGTGTAGAACATTTGATTTTGTTTGAAATTTAGAAAGTTTAAGATCTCCACACTGTTTTATTTCACCCTAATTCAATAGTGAATAGGCTTTGATAATTATATTGTGTATTAATATCATTGTAATTAACAATACAATAAACTTTAAATATTTTAACGTTCAAGAATATTTTTCCAAATCAAATTTATATGCACATAGTTATCGTGAAGAATTGGTAACTTTTTAGAGAAATTTGAAAATTTTATGCTTTTGTGTTAGCTGGAACAATTCATCAAAGACGGCGAGTACATCTGATACACAGCTAAATTACTCAATATAAAAATATTGCTGTCAAAATTTCGATCGTTACAATATAGTTGCTCATTAATATAGAAGAAATCGAAACTATACTGCAGAATCTACTTTCAGCAACCAATGCAATTGACTGCCTCAAGTGATATTCAAAGTTCGCACGCGAAACAAAGCGAGTAAAAATGAAGGTTTTAATATTCAGTGCTGATAGAGTGGAATAATCGAGCCACTCTCGTTGAAGCGATCGCTATGACACTCTCAAAAACTCGAAACCGTCCGTCTGCCATTCGGCAGGTTTTCAATAGAAATTTCTATAAATATATTGGAACCATTTTTGTACATCATAAAAATTTTCAGACCGGGGTCTAATCCATTTGAATCTACGGTGAGTATTTTAATGCACATTAAAGCTGAATTGAAAATTGAGAAACAAACTTGATAACCAGGTAAATGAGTGTTTTTTCACAGGGAAAAAAGTATTTTTTACTAGATTATCCTTCTTTCTAGGCATTTACGTTATTAAAGTGAAGCCCGTTCATTGTATATTTGATAAGATGCTCTTTATTTACGCTAAAGAGTAACCGGTAAAGAGCACCCGAGCAATACCAATCTAAAGCACTTTATTGTGAGCTTCATTCTCCCTACTGTGGCATCTTAGTCATTACAATTACAGAATAGGCAAATACAATTTTATATACATCTTATTTTCCAGTAAATTACACTGTCAATTTTATAGTATGAAGGTAATTTTATTTTAAATTATAAACTTTTCGTACACATTACGTTGTTAAGTTATAAAAAACGCATTATTATGTTTTTTTTATATTTTCGACATGCTACCTTGTGTGTCCAGGAGAGCTGGTCTGCTGGAGGCCGCGAGTCCACCTTGCAGGTGAAGTACAAGTCTGTGCCTTCACGCACCTGTGAAGGGTCGATTTTGACTCCCAATTCCAATTCAACTTCCGGAGCATCTGTAGGTTAATACAAGGAACACTTTTAAGAATGCAGTTATCTCCAATAGAACGCTTTATAAGTAAAAAGAGGGAACAGTACAAATTATTCTACTACTTGTTTTGAATTAGTGAAATAATTTAAAATTGTTTATATTTCTCGCAGATCTCATGCTTATATTCCAAAACGACAGTAGGTTGTAAAATATATTTCTTATAAAAGTTTATGCCCAAAAATTAGAAGTTAGTTATTGATACGAGTATAACTGAAAACCAACATCGCCTGTACTACCGCTAAACGTATTTTTTCCTAATTTCTAGATTCGCCTAAAACTAATGTTATCCTGTAGTTTAGCAAATTTGTTATAGGTGAGTACTTCATGTTACTTTATCATAACTTGATATCAAAAAAGTTTAAGAACAATTAACCTACTAAATTGGATACGTTTTTATAGGTTTTATTTCATTCATACTTTTACGCATAGATTTCATTTCCTATGTAAATTTCATAACCATGCCGCCAACAATCTCAATCTTGTACTATAATGAAAGAATTACCTTCATCTTATTGTCCTAACATACAATTAAAATATAATGCCCGAACAGATTTATAAAAAGATTCTTGAAATAGTAAACAAACACAAGTAGCATCATTCGAAGTTTTATGAGACCATTTTTTCGAACTTGACTTCATTAAAATTCATTCGAACTTAACATAATTTGGCGCGCCGGTGCTTTCCTTATACAGTATTATCGAGCAATCGCAACGAGATAGTCTTCATCATTAGAGATACTTGTTTAAAATATGTGCATATGTTCATCTAAAATTTACCCCTAAAATTGTATGAAATTAGAAACTGGGTCATTAATCAAAATTCCAAGACGCTACACATTTTTCTTACTAATCACAATAACAATACCCTACTTCTAATGCCGTTTAGTTCAGAGTAAATGGATATTATCTTCATCAAACATCATGTTGAGGATAATATTTTCCATTTAAAATACTCAAAATCCCTACTTCACTCACAATTAACGTGAATAGTCTTAGTGGCGTTCACTTTGTAGTTCGGGAAGAAGTTGTTCCAAGCGACACACGAGAGTTTGCCACCATGATCCTCTTTACCGAGCACGACTTTGAGTTGCCCTGAACTGTAGGACTGTTTTCTTAAGAGCGTCCTGTCGATCTTCGTAGAGTGGCTTGGACTTGAACTCAACTGCAGTGTTTGAACTGCAGTTGACGAAGTCACTCGACTTGAGGTGCCACCGCCATCCACGGGAGACCAGAAATTCGGATCGTTCAAGTCCTTTCAAATGAGAGTAAATGACGCTTAAATACTTGAATTCCAGATGAAAAGAACATAAAGCCTGTCGGAATATTGCTCTTTCTTCGAAACTTTTTTTATCACAGTCATTTATTTAACTCTTTTAAGAGAGTTATCGTGATGTTGTTAACTCGTTGAACTTGCTGAATTTGGAAAATATTAAATATTCAGCAAGGAAAATTTGCTCACGTATCAATTACCAACGTTTTAATCAAGTTGCAAGAAAAAATTTTACAGCAGTGAACAATATTCCGCAAATTCCTTCTGTTATATTTAGACTCAAGATTTTAACACGAATTGCAAATTTATGCGCGCTTCAACTGACGAGTTAATTAGTTTCAGGACTAAAGAAAATTATTTAAACCAGTTTATTCTGTTGGTGAGCTCATAATAAGTAAATCTTCCCTTTTTCCCACAAAAAGTTCATTTCAACCTTGATAACAAATCCGGCCAATTAACTAATCTGTTCTTCTCTGGAATTGTCCTAAATAAATCATGATATCTGGATTCATTAATCTAAAAACGAGTTACAAGTTTAGTTAGGCTGATTTATAATAGATAAAGGCAGAACTCGTCCCGCAGTGACCATTATTCTAATGAATGTTATGAATTTATTATTTAAATCTAATGAATGATTAGTGCCTCATTCATCAGTTCATCATTATTCATCCAAGTCAGTAAGCGTTTTCTAGAATTACGGAACGTTTGAGATACGTGTTCTTATGACCTCAGGTCATCGAGTCAACTCATTCGAGTACGTAAAACTTTCGCATTTTTTAATATTTCATCAAATGTTCAAAGGTTTTCTAACTTCATAAAACGTTTAAAAATTGTTACCTATGTATTACAATGGCGTAAACATAGTAAGCTAACAATTAAAAAAATTCGTTAACGCTTTGAAGTCATTTAAAGCTATTGAGGCGTCATTGCCTTTCTAGGCACTACAATGGTCGATAGAGTTCAGAAAATAGAGAAAATATCCAATATTAATGTTTAATAATACCTGAGTGCTGAGCTTCATCAGAAAATAGAGAAAATATCCAATAATAATGTTTTTTTTTCAAACTACATTTGCATTGAACAACATTTCTTCCGGAAATATTTGACTTATGTGAGATGAAATCATTTTTAACCACGTTGCATGTGAACAAAACAAGAATTTCTCGTATTTGAATCGATTCGCGTCAAGGCTCTGTGCGACGCAAATATTTTGCCCGTTCCAAAGTGGTGTACACGCCTAGTTATAAATTTAAAATTATAAAATGCTAATTATTTGAAACCTTTTCGGCTTAGGTACATGATTTATCCGCTAATTGTCAGAGCCTAATTTTGAAGCAAATGCATAATGTAGGCAATGATTTTGGGCTGTTTATTTATTCAAATGTCAAGAAACAAAAATTTGAGAATTATCTAAAGTTTTGATCAATTCAGAACATTTTTAATTATTGCCGCAACAAAAGCCGTTGCGCAAAACGATTTATATTCAAGAAATTCTTGTTTTATTTCAAAATGCAAATAAACGTGACGAAAGGAATCGTGTTGCACATTTTGGAACATTTTTAAGCTTTTATAATTTATATAAAAGCTTATATTTAAATTTACAAATACGTTAGTGACAGCAAATTTTGGTGTACAGAAAAAAAAAGAGGACAAATGATCCGCTTTCAAATAATTTGTTCTATTAAATTGACGAATAACGAAGTAAATCAAATTAAATCTTTTAAATTGCCGAACGCATTAGCATAAAAAAAGAATTAACTACGTTGATTGGAATGGCGGGATTTGAATTAATGGACCGATTGCGCAACGCGTTCAGTAAACCAAGAAGTTTTAAATTAAGAGCGATTCCATAAATTACACCAATAATAATAATTTAATTTAGTCGTAAAATGCAGAACTATCTTCTAAACTAATTTGACTCACAGTAGTACAAAGAACTTAAATTCTGCGTAAAATTCTTCATACTAAAGCAAATGATCACAACTAGAGGCAGTTCAACTGTATTAATAACTTTTATCTACGCAACGTAAAATGCTTAAAAAACTCAACGACCATCACACGCAATTGAAGTACTCAAGAAACATCCAAAAGCTCACATGCAACGCAAAGTTGTTCACACGCAGGGTGTAATTTTCATAATCAGTCATGAGTAATGCGTTTCGCCACCCTTGAAATAACTTGTTAAGGCCTTTGCATGCTAAAAAATAATTGGCTTCAGTAGAAGAGAACTCATTCTCGGCACGCCTACAGATGACGGTTATTAGCTCGGTCATTACGATGATGAGCTTTTTGCTGCTATAAAGTTTGGGCTCGGGAAATCCTGTGAGGACCACACAGGAATTCTTTGCTTATATGGAATATACATTAGTGTAATTTTTACCGTTTTATTTGTTTTTGTCCGTCTTGCATGCGGGATTTCATTGCTACTGTGTAAGCATTAAATGTTTTAGGGATATAATTAGGTGCTTCAGGAAGTGTTTAATGTGTGAAGTTTATTTCATTTAATCTACCTGATGGAATTTTGCAACGAAGCAAAGTTTAAATAATCCCTAAAATTTTATTGTCATTGCAAGGAATGAAATTAAATTACGTTCAATTACTTACCAAATTGCTTCTGAAGATACTGCTTTGTGTATGCTCTTCTGTCAACATAATTTCTCCTATTATACATATTTCCCCATCCTATACATAATTTCCCATACAATATATATTTTCTCTTGCATAAATATTTTCTCCTACTACAAAAATTTCCTCTTATTATTCATTCTCTTACTTTATTTACTTACTTTAATTATTATTTCTTTAACCTTACATATTTTCCCATAACGAACATAATTTCCAATACTATACATATTTTTTCCGTGATGAGAAAAGTTCGGCGTTTAGGCCGCCTTTCCATTACTCGCCCACATCTCCATCACCTCTATTTTCCCTGCTTCGACATATTATAAGGCCGATATAAGAACGTTGTCTCTTGCATACACGAGACACGAGCACGGGCGTGTCCGCAAGATAAGCTCCATTACAGCGTGGCAATTCAATTACTCAAAGTCTAGCGGACCCTGGGCGCACCTGCTTATGTTCCGCGCTGTTCTATACAATAATACGTAGAATTCATTTACGTGTAATTAATAATATAGTGCATAGAATTTTAATTTATGGTCAGACTAGGCTGACTATTTGTTTCAAAATAAAGGTGTAGCTAAGAAACTTTGTGCAGTCATTTCAAAGGCCAAATACAAAACAATGTAATTACAAAAACTATACAAGGATTTCAAAATAGCTGCAAGCTTCAAATTCAAGTTTACGATTGATTCTGGCCGCAGAGATGAATTTTTGTTAGAGTGAGATTATTAATATCATGACTTGACAAAAATAAAAAACTCAAATCGTTTTTTAGTCTATAAATTGATACACACAAACTGCTCCCCAGGCTAAACTTATATTCGTGACTTCTTGGATCAACTTTCCCATTTCCCGCATAGCGACATCCTTATATGCTTTTGAATGTCATACTTTTAATTCATGAACTAGTATATACTGCTTTCGAGTGAAGAACTAGTTTGAGTTAAACTGCTCCGGCTTACACGCAATGTGATAAACTATCTTAAGCACGACTCTTTGCGGCACCGCTTGTACAATGGAACTGCATGGTATGCAATATAACGATACTTAGCAGACATATTTTCCACCAACGTTGAAACGAATCTTGATCATCAGATTTTGTCCCCATGTACTATGGCCTCCTGTTAAAATCGGCAGCAAATTTAAGCCTTATTAAACAGAGAAACTCTGCTAAATATATGCTATCATCTGGATATATTTTCCCGTATTAAAAATTTCCGAAGCCATCAAATTTTATGCATTAAAACGTCAGAGTTGATTCAGTGACTATTATATTTTTGAGTTCATAAGTGTTCAGTTAATGCTAGTTCGAAATTCTCCAATTTATATTATCCGTTTTCATCGTAATGCTGGTGTTTGACCAGTTTGAAATTAGTAGCTTCTACTGCTTAATTCCGATTATATTATTATTATTTATTACCATTATATTATTTTATTTGACAGAAGTAAGGCATAGTAACCATCTTACACGTACAGGCATCGTCCATTTAAAATTTCTCATTACTAGCGGGCATGAGGATATTGCACAGTAATTACTTGATTATTAATTCAATGGTCGTCAAGTTTAATCATGATTCTGCCACTCCAAACGTCTGAATCAGATTCCACCTTCCAATTAGAGCGGTCACAACTCAATACAATTGTCAAGAATTAAAGTTCGCAAGGCAGGCACAAAGCCGCGTTGCTGTTTTGTTCTGTGCGATTTAAGTTGTGCGCTGGATGATTAGTTTTGCATAGGTGATCATAGTGAGCGTCAAGCACACTATTATGAACTTAGTTATGAGCAATTTTTTTTTATTAATTGTACCGATGTAGCTGTAGAAATTTTGCTGCGAATCTTTCAGCGAAAAAATGAGCGCTATGAGTAAAATTAATGGATACTAAATGATCGCTTATCTTCATTGAATGGCTATAATAATTCACAATTATACATGCATTCTTATATACTAAGGATAGATTACAGCAGCTGTTGATTGCTCAATAATTAATACATTAGGGTAAACTGAAGAGTGCAGAGTCGATAAACTTCAATTTACTGAAGTTCCAATTCAAAGACTCATGTTCCTCATTTATTGAAAGTTCGCTTAAAATTTTATAGAGTTTTCGTTGTTTGCTCGTAAAAATTATAAATACAAATTTACAGAAAATCATTCAATTATATATAAAGATAATGTCCGTTACTTAATTTTTACCTTCTTGAAGTAACTATTTTTCATTATTAACGCCATCTATTTTTGAATGCGTAAAAAATTCTCACTTAAGCGGAGAAACTGGGAGACTTTTTTTATTTTTCATTACCAACAATAATGTGGAAAACAAAGATGCAAATTATCTGCTGCCTTCACAGTAATGTTATGTATAGGAAACTTATATTTTACGAATAATTATTGGTCGAATATGGTCATACTTAAGAAATAAGATCTTATCTGGGATTGTTAGCGAAAAAAAAAACATTAAAACACTAAAAATCTGTAAAATGGAAGCAGTAGAGTACAAAAAAAAACAACAATTAAAACGATAAGACAGTGAAAGATTTTTTTAAAACGCTATGATAATTTTTATTTCTATTTAAATTTAGATACTCCGATTGTATATTTTATAATTTCACACTCGACGTGAATCATGAATCATAAGAAACTGTATATAATAACTTTACTGACGATAGAAATATATAAAAGCATAATGAATGAGGAACCAAAGTTTTCTTTGGTTCCTCCTTCAGTTATTACCTTTGGTAATAACTTTCTTTTTGAAGTCAATACCTCATTTAAAGTAATAAAGTAAGTTTTCTGCAGTACGTAGTTCTAACAACACGCACTAGCTCGCCACTCACGCACTTGACAAGAAAATTTAATTACGTCCTTATATTTTTTCTCAATACCCTAATGGTTTTTAAATGATATGCCCTATACACCCTTAATTTCTAATTAAGAGCAGCTTCCTTAAAACAATAGAGCATATTTTTTTGCCAACTTGTAGGTCTTTGGGTCGGAGAATTAAAATTTTAGAACAGCAAATATATTTGCGTATATAATTTTATTATTTCCTCAAATTTACTGTTGATGAGTGTGATTCAAAAGCGGGGTGATTAATCTATCTATTCAGTTACAATAATAACGCCAGGGCAATTTTGAGTATAAATAATATAAAATCTTATAATATTAATGTTTATATACCTATTAATATATTAGAAAATATTTTATCATTCAGATAATTAGCTGCATCACATAACTTTACTAAAACCCAGCTGCCCATTAAAAAATCATAAATATTTTATCAGTACTAAGCTGATGACGATTTAACTCACGACTATAAGCGCCAAAAGTTGTAATACTTAATTTTGAGTAAAAATCATTGGTAATTAATATATGGTATACATTGTTATACATTGAAAAATTGTTATAGGTACAACATTTATATTTCCTATTTTTAAGACTGAATTAATATAAAATTTCACGTATAAATAATCAATATAACTGAAACTTCGTCCACGAAATATTTTATAGCTTTGTAAATAATATTTGCTACACATATCGAGAAACGTTGGTATATTCAAAAAAATTTATCCGTCTGATTAATTTTCGTATTTTGAAAACTTTTTGGAATAACTTTAGATGAGTTTTCTATCATGTGATAAACATATGCAGAAATACGTAAAACAATTTTGGCTGCCTAATATTGCTGGAGCTTGGGAGTTTATTTTAGTTTTATAAAACCTAGAGAATTTAATTCAACGCCTAACTTAACATTGTCACTTGTTTCAATACACATTACAAATCAATAGTCCTTTTGAATGACGATTCTTCATTTCAGAAGCTAGAATTAAATCAGAATTAAATCTGCCGCAACATGCATTATAAAAATTGCTGACTGATTTCTAAAATCTAACTTTAATTACCAAATTATGTCTTAGCACATTTTCTCATTTATGGAAAAAATGCACTATTGTGCTCGCCATGTCCGTCTGTCCGTCTGTCTGTCTGTCTGTCTGTCCGTCCGTCCGTGACCGCAAGTTTTCGTCGACGAGAAAATGCGCTCTCTGTCACTTACTGCAGTGAGTACTGAGTTATATTTTTTTTTAATCTTCTCCGCCATTTTCGCTTCTCCATTTTACTTTTAACTTAATTTGATGTTTATTTACTTACTTATTAAGATTGAATGTTATTTATTTATTTACTTTATAAGATTAAATGTTCCTTTTACTCTCATGCACGTGAGTTAATTGAACATAACATGCGATGACCCCAGGGAAGCGACGATAAAAACGATGAGGTCCAGAACAGAGGAGAACAATAGAATTGAACACAAATAGTTGTAAGTGAAAAAATCTTGTTTGAAAATTGATGAAATAATTAGAACAGCCGGAAAACCTCTTACCGAGAAGAAGAAATAAATTGATAATCCTGAGCGCGGAATTGATCCTGAGCTTTGACACTAATACTAAAATAAAAAAGAGGATACAAAAACCATCACATAGAATAAATATATGGAATAATAAGTAAAAAATTGTTAAAAAAAACAT